TCTGTATATCTTCTTTGGAGAACTGTGTATTTAGGTCTTCTGCCCATTTTTGGATTGGGTTTTTGCTTTCTTTGATATTGAGCTGCATGAGCTGCTTGTAAATTTTGGAGATGAATCCTTTGTCAGTTGCTTCATTTGCAAATATTTTCTCCCATTCTGAGGGTTGTCTTTTCATCTTGTTTATGTTTCCTTTGCTGTGCAAAAACTTTTAAGTTTCATTAGGTCCCATTTGTTTATTTTTGGTTTTATTCCATTTCTCTAGGAGGTGGGTCAAAAAGGATCTTGCTGTGATTTATGTCATAGAGTGTTCTGCCTGTGTTTTCTTCGAAGAGTTTTATAGTGTCTGGCCTTACATTTAGGTCTTTAATCCATATTGAGTTTACTTTTGTGTATGGCGTTAGGGAGTGTTCTAATTTCATTCTTTTACATGTAGCTGTCCAGTTTTCCCGGCACCACTTATTGAAGAGGCTGTCTTTTCTCCATTGTATATTCTTGCCTCCTTTATCAAAGATAAGGTGACCATAGGTGCATGGGTTTATCTCTGGGCTTTCTATTCTGTTCCATTAATCTATATTTCTGTTTTTGTGCCAGTATCATACTGTTTTGATTACTGTAGCTTTGTGGTATAGTCTGAAGTCAGGGAGCCTGATTCCTCCAGCTCCGTTTTTCTTTCTCAAGATTGCTTTGGCTATTCAGGGTCTTTTGTGTTTCCATACAAATTTTGAAATTTTTTGTTCTAGTTCTGTGAAAAATGCCATTGGTAGTTTGATAGGGATTGCATTAAATCTGTAGATTGCTTTGGGTAGTATAGTCATTTTCACAGTGTTGATTCTTCCAATTCAAGAACACGGTGTCTCTGTCCATCTGTTTGTGTCATCTTTAATTTCTTTCATCAGTGTCTTGTAGTTTTCTGCATACAGGTCTTTTGTCTCCTTAGGTAGGTTTATTCCTAGGTATTTTATTCTCTTTGTTGCAGTGGTAAATGGGAGTGTTTCCTTAATTTCTCTTTCAGATTTTTCATCATTAGTGTATAAGAATGCAAGAGATTTCTGTGCGTTAATTTTGTATCCTGCTACTTTACCAAATTCATTTATTAGCTCTAGTAGTTTTCTGGTAGCATCTTTAGGATTCTCTATGTATAGTATCATGTCATCTGCAAACAGTGACAGCTTTACTTCTTCTTTTCCAATTTGGCTTCCTTTTATTTCTTTTTCTTCTCTGATTGCTGTGGCTAAAACTTCCAAAATTAAGTAATAGTGGTGAGAGTAGACAACCTTGTTTTGTTCCTGATCTCAGAGGAAATGGTTTCAGTTTTTCACCATTGAGAACGATGTTGGCTGTGGGTTTGTCATATATGGCCTTTATTATGTTGAGGTAAGTTCCCTCTATGCCTACTTTCTGGAAGGTTTTTATCATAAACGGGTGTTGAATTTTGTTGAAAACTTCTTCTTCATCTATTGAGATGATCATATGGTTTTCCTCCTTCAGTTTGTTAATATGGTTTATGACATTGATTGATTTGCTTATATTGAAGAATCCTTGCATTCCTGGGATAAACCCCACTTGATCATGGTGTATGATCCTTTTAATGTGCTGTTGGATTCTGTTTGCTAGTATATTGTTGCAGATTTTTGCATCTATGTTCAGTGATACTGGCCTGTAGTTTTCTTTTTTTGTGACATCTTTGGTTTTGGTATCAGGGTGAGGCCTCGTAAAATGAGTTTGGGAGTGTTCCTCCCTCTGCTATATTTTGGAAGAGTTTGAGAAAGATAGGTATTAGCTCTTCTCTAAATGTTTGATAGAATTCGCCTGTGAAGCCGTCTGGTCCTGGGCTTTTGTTTGTTGGAAGATTTTTTTTTTTTTTTTTTTTTTTGCGGTACGCGGGCCTCTCACTGTTGTGGCCTCTCCCGTTGCGGAGCACAGGCTCCGGACGCGCAGGCTCAGCGGCCATGGCTCACGGGCCCAGCCGCTCTGCGGCATGTGGGATCTTCCCGGAACAGGGCACGAACCCATGTCCCCTTGCATCGACAGGCGGACTCTCAACCACTGCGCCACCAGGGAAGCCCTGTTGGAAGATTTTTAATCATAGTCTCTATTTCAGTGCTTGTGATTGGTCTGTTTATATTTTCTATTTCTTCCTGGTTCAGTCTCGTAAGGTTGTGCTTTTCTAAGAATTTGTCCATTTCTTCCAGGTTGTCCATTTTATAGGCATATAGTTGCTTATAGTAATCTCTCATGATCCTTTGCATTTCTGCAGTGTCAGTTGTTACTTCCCCTTTTTCATTTCTAATTCTATTGATTTGAGTCTTCTCCCTTTTTTTCTTGATGAGTCTGACTAATGGTTTATCAATTTTGTTTATCTTCTCAAACAACCAGCTTTTAGTTTTATTGATCTTTTCTATCGTTTCCTTCATTTCTTTTTCATTTATTTCTGATCTGATCTTTATGATTTCTTTCCTTCTGCTAACTTTGGGGGTTTTTTTGTTCTTCTTTCTCTAATTGTTTTAGGTGTAAGGTTAGGTTGTTTATTTGAGATGTAGCAGGTGCACTTTTAAATTTATTTATTATTTTGGCTGTGTTGGATCTTCGTTGCTGCGCACGGGCTTTCTCTAGTTGTGGCGAGCACGGGCTACTCTTCATTGTGGTGTGTGGGCTTCTAATTGTGGTGGCTTCTCTTGTTGCAGAGCATGGGCTCTAGGTGCACGGGCTTCGGTAGTTGTGGCTCATGGACTCTAGAGCACAGGCTCAGTCATTGTGGCTCACAGGCTTAGTTGCCTCGTGGCATGTGGGATCTTCCCAGACCAGGGCTCGAACCCATGTCCCCTGCATTGGCAGGTGGATTCTTAACCACTGCACCACCAGGGAAGTCCTAAAACAGGTGCACTTTTAAATTATATTACTTAGCTGGAGAATTCATTTGCTAGGGCTGTTATAACAAAGTACCTCAAACTGGGTGGCTGTAAACAATAGAAATTTATTCTCACAGTTGTGGAGTTTGGAAGTCTGAAATTAGGGTGTCAGGAGGGTTGGTTCCTTCTGGGGGCTCTGATGGGGAATCTGTTCCGGGCCTCCCTCTGGCTTCTGGTGGTACCAGCAACCCTTGGCTTGCAGACCCATAATCTCTTCCTAACTAACTACTTCTGCAAAGATGCTGTTTCCCAGTAAGGTCACATTCAAGGTTCAGAGAGTTAAGACGGGGACGTGTCTTTTGTGGGGACACAGTTCAGCCTACAGCAGTCACTTAGGCTTAGATTTCTGACTCTTATGTGGGGTCTTGACCGAGGACGAGGGTGAGGGAGCCCTGGCCGCAGAGGGTTCCTGCAGGACTCCTGTCTTTCATTTCAAAGGGTTGATTTGTTGGGATCTTTGGAAAAGAAAAAAGCCAGGAGATCAATATCAATTCCAGTGTTTGGGGCTCATTTCCAGGTGGTTTCACATGGGTCTTATTATTTGGGCGACTTTCATTTTATATCCTTTTAGCACTACTCTTTTTGATTGTTACAGATGGAATAGTTCGATTTTCAGACTCTTATACTTCTTTACTTTTTTAAATTGAGATATAATTGACATATAACATATGCTTCTTTTTTAAATACACCAGTTACTTCATTCAAATTAGATCTCTTTTTGCAAATTTTAACTTCTGTGTTTTCCCATTTATGGTTTTAGTTTCATTATAAACTTTGATGATACTTTAAAGCCGTATAGCAAACTTCTATTTTTTTAATTTAATTTTATTTTATTTTGCGGTTCGCGGGCCTCTCACTGTTGTGGCCTCTCCCGTTGTGGAGCACAGGCTCCGGACGCGCAGGCTCAGTGGCCATGGTTCATGGACCTAGCCGCTCTGCGGCATGTGGGATCTTCCTGGATCGGGGCACAAACCCGTGTCCCCTGCATCAGCAGGCAGACTCTCAACCACTGCGCCACCAGGGAAGCCCCAAACTTCTATTTATAGTCCATATTTTAGATCCTAAAACTACCTTAAGCATTTGTATATGGAAATTAGAGAAACAAATGTGATGTTTACCTAGACTGCACTCTCTCACTTTGCTTACATTGAAGAATCTTTAGCTTGCAGGGATAAAATCCATGATCTTAGAAATGTTTTAATTTATTTGTTCCCTGATCTAGTCAGCAGACGTTTATTGCTGTACACTACTCCAGGGGTGGGGGCTCTGAAGTGACCAAAAGAAAACCCTCCTGCCCTCCTGGAGGAGACGTGGACAGATAGTTAGATGGTTCCTGCTATGGAGACGGGACCACCCTGGAGGACAGTGGGGGAGAGGGCCACGAGGCCGTCTGCCAGAGGCAAGAAGGAGGCCAGGGCCCTGGAGGGAGTGGGCTGGGGTTTGGAGGGAGAGCAGGGCTGGATGCTGCATGGAAGCAGGGAGAACAAGAGCAGAGGTGAGGCCGGGGCAGCCTCGGAGCCCATGGACGGTGGCGAAGGCAGACCATGGATGTGGTGAAGCTGTACTTTCCCCCAGCCGTCAAGCACTTTATATGTGGTCTCTCATACAAATAATTGCCGATTTGTACAAGTACTGAGCCTGTGCCCACACAGTGCACGTCTGGCCTGGAGGCCACACAGGCGGTCTAGCATTTCTGCTCACTCCTGTCATCGTCCTTCTTGGAGACGTGACTCTCCCTTCTTAGCCGTTTTCAAACCTGGGAAATCCAACCTTGCAGAGAAAGGAGTGGGTGCGAAAAGGAGTTGGTCGTTCTCTGGTGGACACATGTAAGGGGAGGGCAGGGGGACAAGGGAGTCCCTCGGCGTCTCTACACTTCTCAGGAGCCCAGAAGTAGAAGGAGCAGACATTGGTGTCTCTTGAACAGAGAAAACAGGTGCTGAGAAGAGCACAGGGACGTGTGGCAGCCACACCTGCCTTCAGAGGCCTTCAGGGCCCAAAGGTGCAACCTTGGTGTGCATGCAGCATATTTACATGCATATCTGTGTTCAGACAGCTGACGTGCTTCTAACCAGAGGCAAACTGCCATTACAGGCCCACCGATGACAGCAACCAGCCCCCAGGCCGCGGCGTCCTCTCCATGCACGGGCTGACCTATGGGGTCATCCGGGTGGACTCGGAGGAAAAGCTGTCTGTCCTCACCGTGCAGGACGTCGGCCTCGTGATGCCTGGAGGTGAGCGCGGGTGCAGGCGCAGAGTCAGAGCCCAGCCAGGGACCAGCTGCCAGTGCTGCCCTGGCTGGCATCCCTGTCCCCGGCTGTGAGCGTGCCCACCTCGGCCTGACCTCCAGTCCGGTCCCATGTTCGCCAAGCTTCAGCCCAGGAGGTGCGGTAACTCGGCCCCTCCTGATAAAAGAAAACCCAAAATGTTCATGAGGCTGAGGAAAGGCCTCTATGTCACATGCACCCTGGGACCCCAGGAGGCACCCGGGGCCGCTCTGCACCCCCAGAGTCACCTGGGCAACTTCTCCCCATGCAAAGGTCAGCTTCTTGCTGGTCGTCCTGGTGCACTGGGGGCCAAACCCTTATGGAAGCTTGCCTGCACCACAAGAGCCCTTGTTTAAGTCACAGAAATCATTTCCGCGCTACATACAGACAAGCTCCCGGCAGAAGGACCTGTCTTGATGAAGCCCTCTTGCCTTTCCACCCCTGCCCTGTGCTGGGACACCTCCTGAGGCCTCGCGGGGGCCCCAGGGAGTGCAGCTGGAACAGCTCTGCTGGCAGGAGGGAGCCCCGGTCTGATTTGTAGGGCTCCCTCCCTGGCCCTGCCTCTCCTCACTCTTCACATGGCGTCCCCGGGGAGTGGGCCCCCTTTCCTGGGGCAGTTCCTCCAGAGTCTGGACCTTCTCCTGATGAGCCTCCACGCACATGGGTGTTGTCTCGCCTCATCAGGGGGCAGTCGCATCCACATACAACCTAACCCCAAAGCCAGGCACATGCTCAGCTCAGCTGCAGCTTCAGCCAGGCCTCCTGGCTCCATTCCTTTCTTGCTTTTTCAAATAAAGAAATTCCCCGTGGTTCCAACCTGAAAAGATGAGAAAACTGTACAGTGAAAAGCCTCCTTTCCAGCCACTGGAGGCAACCACAGTGGAGACATGCAGGCAACTTGTACACACACACACACACACACACACACACACACACGCATATTCTTTTTCCTGTTTTTTTAAAATTTCATGTAACAATAGAGCCCTTCGTGCCTGCTCATATCTTGAATCTTGAAGCTCGTTTGTTAGCAGCACGTGAAGAGCTCACACATTCCCTTCCAGACTGAGGAGCATTATGGTGTTTGAACACATAATAGTTTATCCAAACCCTTTCCATTGGGCGATTTTCCACTTTTTGCCCCTGCAGTGTGGTTGATGCAGTAACTCATCTGTGCTCCAGCCTGCAGAGGTGTGAGGAAGAGCTAACAGGGAGAGTTCTAGAAACGTGCAGTGTGAAGGGCACACACCCAAGTGACTCTGATGAGGCTGTCCTTCAGAAGGATCATAAGGATTGATATTCCTGCTGCTAGCGGGGGACGCCCCTCTTTCTCCACTCTCTCATGCCCAATGTATTTTCAGACTTTCTGATTTCTACCAGTTTGAGGGGTAAAGAATACTTTGGTGTCATTTTAATTTGAACTTTTCTTACCATGAGTGAGCTGAAATCTTCCCGTGTTTTGAGTGGGTCTCTTTTTAGACGCAGCACTTCCTGTCACCTAACACCAACCTGGGGATGAGGGGCAGCCTTATGACTCTTTCTGCCCAGCTCAGCTGTCACTCGGTGCACCCACCACCTCCCTGAAACACCAGCTTCAGCCCTGATCGCTGGCGCTCTGCAAACGGGAAAATTAGCATCCGCCAGCCTTCCCTGAAGGGCACACCTTGACGGGGAATCTGAGGTCAAAGACTGAGATTCCCGTGGGATGGGGGAGGCGTTCTGTTTGGAAAAGCCTGAGAGGCTGTTGAGCAAGTGTCTCCTGCTCGTTGGTTTCAGGGCTCAGGCTGCATCTGGGAGGCTGTGTGGGCTGGCTGATGGCGCTCAGCATGCGGCAGTGACGCTCAGGCGTGTTCTAAGTGTCGTCCTCCTGTGTGGATGGCAGAAACGGTTACTCCCTTTAAATGCCATTTACACACTAAAATTAAAGCAATTGGAATTATTTACTGATGTCACAACTATAAAATGTGAGGTTTTGCTGCAACGTGGAAACTCACTTGCCTCAGGGACTGTGAGGACCTGCTCGCTTTCACCTGTGGTTTTGCTGCAGACGCTGCTTCTGCTCGTTTGGGTTCTTTTTCATATTCATTCATTTCTTCTCTCTGACCCCCTCCCTCCCTCCCTCTCTAACGTCACTGTGCTTCGTTTTGCGTTCAGCCATCATGTGTTCGGTGAAGCCGGACGGGGTTCCCCAGCTGTGCAGGACGGACGAAGTCGGGGAGCTCTGCATGTGCGCAGTTGCCACGGGCACGTCCTACTACGGCCTCTCGGGTATGACCAAGAACACCTTCGAGGTAGGTGGGAGGTGAGCCCCGTCAGACAGCCGTTGCCAGGTGCGTGGAATAGACGTGAAAGAGAAGATGGTAATTTCTCAATGAAACGTATTCATAGTAATGAAAATGGTGGCACTTTCTTCTGCCGTTATTTTTATAGTTTTCAATACATTTGGCTCAGCAGCGTTGTTTTCACCTCATAACCAGAGTTGAGAAAGAGCAAGTACAGTTTTTTTAAAAGGGGCCTTTTTGCTCATTGCCATTCTCACCTGTTTAGGAAGAGCAGCAGCTGACAGGTGGGGGCTGGAGAGTGTGCACGGCCGTGCTGGGGGAGGGAGCAGTGGCCCCCTTGGGGCCTGTCAGCCTCGGCCAGACATGCACACTGCACATCTACCTCTACCACACGAGTGTGTGTCCGTGCCGTGTGCACACGGGTGTGGCATGCAGTTAGTACACACATGCACACACTGCCCAGTAAACCCAGCATTCTCAGAATTCGTATCATTTCACCAAGTGTGCCTGACCTTAGAAGGAACACACTGACTAAGTTGTATGTCAGCAAACATGAGTTGTTTGGGGATAAATTTATTAACATGTAGAACTTCAGATGTGAACACATGTGGTGTGGTGCCTTGTACAGGCAGCTTTGTTGAATGTAGATTCAGGTTTCTAAGTGCCCCTGAAACTGAGCCAAACACAGTCTAAAGAAAACTTATCTCCTTTTCTTTGCGACTTATCTGTCGGGTGGGTTGAGGAAACTAGGGATCGAGTTTGAACTCGTGGTGGGGCCTGCTTCCTCTGTATTTTTCTTTTGAGTGTATTTCCAATAAGGAAAAATAGCATTTTAATGAACAGGGATTACTTTACAGCTGACAGATGTTATTTAAAATGCACCTTGCTTCTCCACTTAACCATTTTTATGCTGTGGTTTTATAAGCAAAAGAATGAATTAGTGTTTGTTAGACTGTGGCAGGCCTCTTCAGAGGCCCCTGCGCATGGGCCGGTGGGACGAGCTGTGAGAGCTGGGGAGGGAGGGGAGGTGCCCGCAGGCTGGCGCTCACAGCAGCTATGCGGACCTGGGCTTCTCCAGCCAGGGTCAGGTGAGGAGACCCAGCTGGGGGGAAGCAGGACCAGTGGGCTCCAAGGAGGAGGGTGGAGGCCGGGCCCTGCTGGGCACTCAGAGCTCTTTGTCCCCAGGTGTTCCCGGTGACGAGCTCGGGGGCCCCGGTCAGCGAGTACCCCTTCGTGAGGACGGGCCTGCTGGGCTTCGTCGGCCCTGGGGGCCTCGTGTTCGTGGTGGGCAAGATGGACGGGCTCATGGTGGTCAGTGGGCGCAGACACAACGCTGATGACATCGTGGCCACAGCACTGGCCGTGGAGCCCATGAAGTTCGTGTACAGGGGAAGGTGAGCGCCCTCTGTGGTTGGCACAGTTCTCCGCAGACTACACTTTCTGTGTAAAACTGCAAAAAATTGCTTAAACTAACGGGACTTGGTGTCCTCCTCTGTAAAATGAAGCCACTGGACTCTATTACTTCTGAGATTCCATGCAGTTCTGAATGTCCAATTTTATGAAACTGTTCTGAGCACCAAAAATATACTTTCACTAAATTCTCTTCCACGGTAAATAAGAATGTCCATTTGAAAATCTTATTTTTAATAAGTAACTACACAGAGAAAAGAGCCAAGCATTTATCTTGCTGCAGCTCATTCACCCAGAGGTAACAGTTGAGCCACAAACTGCCTGGAAATTGGCTCCCATGGGTTTCTTCCCGGCGGTGCCCCCAACCCCAGCTTGGCACACAACCGACACTGGATCGCTGACCACGGCTCCTGAGGTTTTGCCGATTTGGAGGAAGTCAGCTGCTTTGGATCTCAACCTGAGTTGCCCAGCTAGTGGGAGCAGGAGGAAGCAGAGCTTGGGGTTGGGGGTAGCCGAGCCACCTTCGTGCACAGGGCACCCTGGAGGGCCATTCGCCACATTTTGTGCTTCCCATGAGAGGCAGACGCAGCTAGCAGAAAACCATTAGCTCCCAAATGGCAAATTTCTGCTGATTGGGAGACTATTGCTTCGCAGGTGCAAGATGCAAGTCGCATGGCTCAGTAAATTTCAGCAGTTCTGATACCTGCGCTTGACTCCTCTGTCCAGAGGCATGAGGCCCGTCACCCAAAGCCACGGGCTACCTCCACAGGAAGTGTGGTGGTTCTGCCCTCCGGCTTTGCCAGGCTTCTCCCCTAAAGCCGCACTTCCTTGGGTGAGCACCTGGGAGTTGGAAGCTGCAATTTCCCGTCAAGGTGGTAGTTGGCACTGGGAACCCCTGAGCTCTGCAGTCGTAACAGCTGCGAAGCGCTTTATGGCAGGGCCAATCCCTTCGTGAGCCTCTCCAGCATGTGATCACCGCGATTTTCTGTCTGTCCCCACAGAATAGCCGTGTTTTCGGTGACCGTCCTGCACGACGAGAGGATCGTGATCGTGGCTGAGCAGAGGCCGGACTCCACGGAGGAGGACAGCTTCCAGTGGATGAGCAGGGTGCTGCAGGTAGCTCGCTCCTGCCCCGAGCCCCTCTCCTGGGCTCACGTGAGCTTCCCTGCACCATTGTGCTCTTGGATCATCCCTCCTTTTGACCAGAGATTGCATCAGCCATGAAACTTACAGTTGCCTTCTAGGGAAGGTGCTAAACAGACCAGGCTTAGGGTTCAGAGGTTTGCAGAACTGGCCTCCCACTCGCTCGTGGAGGTCACAGCAGGACCTTTTGGTTATGGCCTTGAAAGCGTGCTTTCTTTTCTCCCAGTGTGCGAACTCTTGTGTGTGTGGTGTCCCACAAGTGCTATGAAAACAGTATTCTGCTCAGTTTGGCGAGCCTGCCCTCCTCTGACCTCAGCGTCTCCATGCCAGGAGCATCACGGGTGCTGCACCTGCTTCTGTGTGTTGTGATTTGCACAGTCTGAGTATTTGCTCCATGCCTGTTCATGATACCTATTTTAACACGGTTCCCTCTCTCACGACCTTCCAGGCAATCGACAGTATACATCAGGTTGGGGTTTATTGTCTGGCATTGGTTCCAGCAAACACCCTCCCCAAAACCCCACTCGGTGGCATCCATTTGTCAGAAACGAAGCAGCTTTTCCTGGAGGGCTCACTTCACCCCTGCAATGTCCTGATGTGCCCCCACACGTGCGTCACAAACCTGCCCAAGCCTCGGCAGAAGCAACCAGGTACATCTGGAGGGCCGTGCAGGCCCGGGATGGCCCTGGAGCTGGGTGGGGGCCACGCTGACCACGGTTCTCAGCCTCCCTCCCCTCCCGTCTCCCATCACACACTCCCAGGCAAGTCAGCTTCCCGCTAAGCGATGTCTTTCTACCAAGCATGGGATAGAATGCAGCAGAGTCCAGACAGCAGGGGCTGTAGACCACTTGGCTGGAGAGGGGTTGGCGGTGCCTGAGCCTAGCCTTCTTGGCAGTTGTCAGACGTCCTGGGTGGCCTTTGGCAGAGAACCTCTCAGGGTCACGGCTTCCTGTTGAACAAATTAGAATAAGGCTTCCATACCTGTTTCATGAGTCACAGCAACTGGAAGCCTGTGAGGAATCGTACAGATCTACTCGTGATGTTGTCATGGTGGTAAACATTTGTGTGCTGCTTTGCAATTTGGGGAACACGTAATTATCTACCATCTGACTTGATCCTCCTAGCAGCTAATTGATCATAGTCTTTAAGGCTGCACACAGGAAAACGAATTCATTGCAAGAATATGGTGGTGAGGAATCAACTCTTCTGCCAGTGTAGTGATGGAGGGTCCCCAGGCCTCCAGGCTTGATGTGCAGACAGACCTCGGAGGCAGCCAGGATGAGCTCGGGCTGGGGTATTAGGACGACAACCAACAGTGCCTGGCACAGGCAGGCTGCTTGTCCACACGTTACATGTATTAACTCATTTCATCCTCATGGATTTCGTTCTCTTATCTCCATTTTGCAAGGAAATGAGGAAATCGTACCACAGAGGGGTTCAGGAACTGCCTAAGGCTGTGGGTCCAGAGTGTAGGAGAGACAGGCCCAGCCCTGACAACTCTTCACTCCACCGATGAAGAGTGGCAGCATGGGCAGAGTTCCTGGCGAGACAGCTAGAGGTGGCTGGTGGGTACTGGGCGCAGCACAGTTGGCAGTAGATATAGGAACCAGCCCATCCCCAGGCCACCCCCAGAAGTGAGCTTGATGAGATGGGGGTGAGCGGTCTCTCCAGATTCAGGTGAGGACGCTGATACTGCAGGAGGAAAGCAGGTACCAGGCTCGCCGACTTTGCCCCTCTGTGCAAGCAGCAGCACCGGGATTGCCACAGCGTGGCTCTCGCCGTGTTCTTACGGAATCGACAGGAGTGTCTCGGCTCCCCGGGGTGTCCTCACTCACTGTCCCAACCTCCTTCTCCCACCTTTAACCTTGGTCCATCATCAGATGCCTCGACCCGGTGGCCAGTGGGCTCAGGTGTTGGAGACGCAGTTTGTGACAGCAGAATTCAGGACAGACATTTATGATGAGGGATCGTTGGCAGATGCATGACCGTTGCAGGGCTGCAGGGCTCAGACACCTGTCAGACATCTAGGAACCCATGACAGGGACGCGTGGCCCAGTGAACAGGCTCTGAGAGCCAGGTTGGGCACCTTCCTCCTCAGGGCGCACATGGCAGGTACCAGGATCCACACCGCTCTTACAGGCAGCACAGAAAATGCAGCTTCATGTGATTGGCAATTGTAAGGAAAGGATTCTCTAATGGTACCTGGTTATCTCATCTATTCTTGTTAAATATTGGAGGTTATATAACTTTGTCTTCAAAAAACTGTTTGTTGTTTGTTTGTTTTTTAACAAATACTAAATGAATAGATGTCAGCATCTCCCTAACTGGAGAACAAAGGCAGCGGCCTGGAAGAACACTTGGGAATTTGGTGAAAGCATTATTTCTCTGTACCCTTACTTGAGGCTTGTTCATATTTGCTGTCATTTTCATGGTAGTGACTTACTTGAAATCCTGTTCTAATTAGATTTTTCAAAGCTATGTCTTTGAAAGGATTTCCCCAGAGTAAGCTTCTTCCCAAAGTGAGAAGTCATGTTCTCAGGAACTTCACTCGTGTTTTCCTCACGTGTGTGCCGCTGCTTCTTTGCAGAGATCGGCCCTGCCTCTGTGATGGTGGGAAACCTGGTGTCTGGGAAGAGGATCGCACAGGCCAGCGGCAGAGACCTGGGCCAGATAGAAGACAATGACCAGGCCCGGAAGGTGAGAGCTGAGGGTCAGACATCCGCCTGGGCTCTTCTCCACTCCTGCCCAGATGCTGTATCACAGGCGTCACCAACTCCCACTTGCCCTCTCTGGCAGCCCAGTATCTATCATTGATGACCTTTCTTCCTACCTGCCCTCTTGGTCCTGCAAGAGATGTCTGTGTAATTTTATAAGGAAAACGTGTTTGCTGAGGGTGCAGTGTTGTAGGACTGCATGGGTAGGTGATGCAGTCCCATGACGAGCAGGCCTGAGGCCAGTGTCTGCAATCCCTGTCGTGTCCTAGTATCCCCTAAGCACTTGTTCCTGATTCTCCCTCCAGCCCTGATTTGACACTCACACTGCCTCACAGCCACCTTACAGTGAGGCTTCAGTCCTTTGATTGTTGGAATTCAAGAAAACGTCAATGCAAAACCCAGGTTTGGGAGCCAGACCTTCTTAAAGCAGCCTTGGGAGCTGTAGGAGGAATCCTTGGGCCCCACTCCACTTAAACATCAGACACACAGTTTGTCACGCGTAGCTACAAGTCCCCATTAGAACATTCAGCCTTGAGAAAGCTCATGAGTCACCAAAAGGTGGTCCCCCTCTAAATGGGCTCCCAGGAAATGTGACGAAATCAACCATTTAAGATGTTGCCAATTTGGTAACATGTAGTAACACGTTCACTGGCAGCACTTGATCACCATGTTCCCCACCTCACAGTACATTTCCATCGTAAAGTGGATTAAGGTGAAGATGTGGGTGTTTCCTGTATCCTGACACTAGTGCTGTGTCCTGACATTAAACAGGGCCATCCTTGTTACTAGAGACTGAGTCAGTGGGTGTGTGTCACCTGTGTGACCTGCAGAGCTATTGAATGACTTCAGGGATGGCCATTGTAAACACAACAAATTTAAGAGAGCCCGTTTTTGAAACAGGGTAGCTCTGATTCTGTCATTGCAACCCCCAGAAATCACTGCTGCATCTTCTGGAAGCCCCAGGAGACAGGATTTTTCTGTGTCGGCTACTCTGTCTATAAGGGGAATAGAGTCTTCCCATCCTTGGGCAGGTTTCAGAAAACTTCCCTCATGGTGGCATGGCACCAGCCCTCTGACTCCTGGGTCTGAATCAAGCACAGTGAGTTCCAAATCACTGTCAGGAAAGCACTGTGAGCACCTGCTTATTCTGTCAATTATATTTATATGGGATTATCCTCTCGCTGTCTTAAGCCACCTTAAAAGCACCCAGATAGACTAAACTTTTAGATGTTGAGGCCAGCCCAACCCCCCAGGACAGTCTAGACCTAATGGCTGTGCTCTGTTCCAGTTCCTGTTCCTCTCGGAGGTCCTGCAGTGGAGGGCGCAGACCACCCCTGATCACGTGCTGTACACGCTGCTCAACTGTAGGGTGAGGCCCCGCCCGTGTGCCCTGGTCGTTCCCTGTGTGGTCCACAATTTCATGCTTCTGTATCATTTTCTCCACTCAAACCTTTCTCCTCAGTCTTACCTGAATCCTTTTGTTTGTTTGTTTGTTTGTTGCTATTTTGACTGAGACCTTTTCACCTAAGAAAGGTTGCTTTGAAATATAAGTGTTTGAGCGTGTGTGTGTGTGTGTGTGTGTGTGTGTGTGTGTGTGTGTGTGTACACATATATTTTTGTGTGTATTTTAGCAATATTGTTTTGCAATATTTCCCTTCCCCTCAAAATGAGTGATGAATGTCTACAACAGAACAATTGCAGATCTATGAGGTATTTATGTCTTTATTTTTATTACTCAACTCTTTTTTTTTTTATAAGAAGTCATGTTTTAGTTATAGGCTTTCATTCTTAGGAATGAAAATAATTTCTATTTTATAATTAAAGTTCATATTTACATCTCATATTAGAAAAGCAAACTCCTCAGATAGTGTTCCATAATAGTACTTAAGAGTAAGGCAAGAAATAGTACTAACAATAAACGTTAAATGCAGAAGTCTTTAATACGTTTGTTAACTTTGTGTTTGCTTTGGAAATAAGGCCTGAAAAATAGATTTAACGTAGGTCGTCTTGACAAGCATGGGTACTTGCAACTTCAAGAAGTTCTTCAGAGTTGCAAAATGGCAAAATCTTAGTGTGCGAAGGCACCTCTTGTCATTTAAAGCAGTAGATTAAGGACAAGTGAAAGGAAATGCCAACAATATAAGTTACTCCCTGAACCTATGATTTGGATATCCAGCTTCAGACAAGTTTTGCGGTGATTTAGTTGGTAGAAGTAACCTCTGGTCCTCCTCTGACACAGCTTGTCTTGAATTGCCTTGCGTGCTGAGTTGACCTCAGCAGTTTCTTGTTCACTGTGTCTGTTCAAGACCAACCCCAGGAAGAGTCTTAGAAAGCACTCCCGCACCCCAGCCTCTGTGAGGAACGCTTGCTACCCTTGCCTTTTGGCGCCTACGCTTGGGCCTAGTGGACCCACTTCCCAGGATAAATGCTCTTGTGCACAGGTGCATGGTGGTGAGACGCAGGGCAAGCCCGACGGTCGTGTGGTTACCAGGAGGCCCTGCGTCGCATCTGAAACGTGCCTGCCCTGTTGCTCTCATCCGTCTCTTTCCTCTGGCTCCTTCTCAGCCTGTAAACACAGATAAGACTCTCTTTTCCTGGCACCGTCGCCGGTTGGTGCTGTCCTGTCTCTCTAATTGCTTCTTCTGACTTTCTTCGTCCTGTGCACGTGGCGTGTCTCCTGGAGACTGTTGGGGACTTCCCCTTCTTTCTCCAGAGTCTCTCGTGGCCTCTAGAGGTTTCCAACAGCACCTTCAGAGGGGCAGCTGGAGCTGGAGCCACACTGCAGCCTGTCCCCCAGCCCCTGGGAAGGACTCCTGCTCAGAGCCCCTTCACTCAGCGACCTGAGTGGGGCCGTGGTGCTGACGTGACGAGGTAGGACAGGACATCCCCAGGATAGGCCTGCCATCCCCCGTGAACTGTGGGCAGCAAGGGGGCGAGAGTTGGGTCAGCATCCCTTTTCCCTACCCTGCAGCTTGACCCCTCCAGAGCTCTGGGTAAGAGGAAATTTCTTAGCTGTCCCAAACACAAAGATTCAAAAATGATTCAGGCATCTTCATAGACTATAGTCCTGTCAGTGGGAGGAAAACAGCCATGCTAACTGCATCTCGCTTGGGGACTGGCAATGTGCAGGGCAGATCAACCCCATTTCCAGACCCTGAGTTCACCGTCCTTTTCTGTGGCTAGACATTGGATCATTAGGAGAAATGTGTTCACCAGAAATGACTCGTATTCTAGAAGGGCTTCGTCAGCAGCAACAGAAGGTCTGATGGGGTGAGCTGTGGAGGTCAAGGCCATGAGAAAGTTTACTTCAGGTCAGCGCAGGGACAGCGTGGTCTACAACAGCCTCCCTTCAGACATGACCTTATCTCCTGAGGCTCTGCTGACATGAAGGCAGCTACATCCAAACGGCTGGAAGGGTCATATCGGAGCCAGGCATCTGTGTTCATTCCCAGCCTCTCCAACCCCATGTGCACACTTATGACAAGTGTTCAACCTGCATCAAGTGTTCAAGAGCATCATTTCCATGGTGGTTACAGTGTCATTTCCACTCACTCAACCTTCTAGTTCAGCACTGTCCAATAGAAATACAGTGCAAGCCACACACACAGTTTAATGTTTTCTAAAAGCAATATTGAAAAAAAGTATAAAGAAACAGGTGAAATTCATTCTAATAATGTGTTTTACTCAATATACCCAAACACTGTCCTTCCAGCATAGGGCCCCAATGCGCTTCCAGGCTTCCTCTGTCCTGGACAGCCCCTTCCGTTGGTTGTGAATTCCCCAACTTGGTCGTGGCTCCCTTAAAACGGTTACCCGTTGGCATCCTGTCTTTTCACAGTATTCACTCGTATGCCCTCCTCCACGGCAATGCAGTCGATAGGATCAGAGTTGTTATGAGAGGTTTATAGTAGGAAGTGAGGATGTGATTCACTGCAAATCGTGGAAGACTTACATTCTTAGAACTTACTTACATACAGAAGAGCATCTGTTATTTTTTATTTTTTTTCCGGTACACGGGCCTCTCACCATTGCGGCCTCTCCCGTTGCAGAGCACAGGCTCTGGACGCGCAGGTTCAGCGGCCATCGCTCACGGGCCCAGCCACTCCACGGCATGTGGGATCTTCCCGGACCAGGGCACGAACCCGTGTCCTCTGCATCGGCAGGCGGACTCTCAACCACTGCGCCACCAGGGAAGCCCTGTTATTTTTTTTAAGAGAAACACCAGCCAACTCTTTCAACATTTTTTTTTTTTTTTTTTTTTTTTACTTTCTGAGAATTTAAAAATGTGAATCCTGTTTGGCTTGTTCTTCATTCCTCAGTATGCTTTTTACTTGTCATTATTTAATTTAATGTAAAACTTTAAAATGGTGCTACATTTGCAGTCATTGATACTGAAATCTGTGGTCTTTAGAATAGGGATTGGGTGGTGGGTTACCCTGCATTGCCATTCTGTCATGATACCGGCCGAGGCTTCTTTTAGGAAAAGTTAGCCTTAATTTCCTGTGAGGTGCTTTTTCCTAGAACATTCTTCTTAGGCAGTGGGTTTCTGTACTGAAAACCCAACTTTTCCCATGAATGTTGATGAGGATGCCAGGTAACCATTGACCTGAGGATAAACAGCATTTCATGTTTTTATGACAGCAAGCACTTTGGAAAATGAAATGTGTGATTGAAAATCAGTGGTGTTTCTCCCGAGGTGAAAGGCTGTATTGAGACTCCCCATAACCAGTGGTGATGCACAGTCCGGGGCTGGATGAGGCCTGTATCCCATTTGGCTCCCTCAACGTGGAGCCTGCCGGGAGCCACAGTGAAGCCAGTGGAGCCTGCAGGCTGGGGTGGAGGAGAGAGGCTGGGCTGGGCTCGTTGGCAACCGACTGCCCAGAGGGGCCCTCCTCCCATCTGGGGTGAAGCCCGTAGGGTGGCAAAGGGTATTGTGAAACATTCGCAGAGATTCCTAAAGGACAGAATGCCAATTAAATGTCACCATTTTAAAGTACCTGTAGGTGGAAATTTCATAAACAGAGTCAAAACATATGGCTGCTGGTTGTGAGTCACTGGTGCCTCTCAAATCTCATAGGCTTTGTTGTGTGACAGAAAAGCTGGTTATGATAGGGGATCAGTGTCTGCTCTCTGGATAATGGGGAGAAGATCAGTCCCAGAAGTTGAACAACTCAGTCAGAGAATGCTTGCTGCTTAAGATAAGACTGGCTAATGACCAGCGGACAGCAGGGTGGTGGTGGGACTCCCCTGTGGCACACTGCCACCCCACCAGCAGCACAGCTGGTCCCCAGCAACAACCAGGAGCACAGTGCTGGCTTCCCTCCAAGACAGCTGGTGTGCGCGTGTCAGGAGGCCTGGCATGGGCCTCACCTTAGCTGTGCTGGGGGCTGGTGCCCCATCTTCACTTAGAAGAGCTCACAGGACTTTTGGGTCCTTTTGAGTGTGTGTTTTGGTTCATGCGACAGGTGTGTTCCCCAGGAGTAACTGCTCAGAGGAACAGTCCAGTGGAGAAGGCACCAAGTTCTCAGGTTTGGGCTGGGTTTCTAGACGCCAGTCTCGTGGATCTTTCTGTGTTTACTCAGCTTTGCCACATTCTGCTCTCTGGCGCTTCCATTTCATATATCTTTTTCTATTATTTTTTAACCTTTCTTAGAAGGAAGGTAATAAAGGAAAATATATACGATGAGAAAGTTCAAATCAGAGAAATGTAAGCTAATCCTGTCCACTGTGGGAGAGGCCAGTGCCAGCTCAGCAGGAAGGGGCCAGAACCTGGCTGGCAGCTGCCTGGGCAGCCTCCCTTTGCCGGGCTTCTGCGGCCCTGGGCCCCGGTTATGGAGAGAGCCTGCTGCTTCCCAGGGTAGATATGGCCGTCAGTGATCTCGTGAGTGTTTTAGGCAGACACCGGCTGCTGGTATATACCTCCTGATGCCTTTTAAATGGTTTTCACTCCCATCGGTTCCCGCCCACCTTGTGCACGTGTTCCAGTTGGGTGGGAATTCTAATGTCTCTTCCCACACCTCAAGTCACCAGGTCACCAGTGTCCTTTAACGGCCCCAAAGGTTCTGGTCTCTCCTGTCCACGTTTCTCCTCCCACACAGCCAACTGCTCACACCACCTTCCTGTTGACTTCTTTCTGCTCAGGCGACAGTCTTTTCCGTGTCACCCACCAGCTCATTTACCCTCCTTGGAAGCTCCCCACCTAAATAAAAGCATCTGGCCCAATTGTCCACCATCGTTTCTTCAGCTGCAGGGTCTTCCTCACCTGACACTCCTGGCCAGTTTGCCTGTTGCTTAAGGAAAGGTCCTTCACCCTGTTCATCCCTTTAAAGTAGGAATTGATAATAAAGAAGCAGTTTTTAAATAGCTGTAGACAGTGATCTCTTCTCACCTGGGAATATGTGCAAATGAAAAGTGCATTCTCAAGAGAAACTTTTTTTGGATAGTTGTATGTTTATAATTTGCAGTTCATTCTTGCTTTTCTTTAAAGAGTAAACATCATGTATTTTGATATCTCTTAGTACCTACTTTGCTACTGATTTTCGCCTACAAAGCTTTTTTATGGTACTTTTCAATCCAAGTGTGTTTTACATTTGCTCCTGCATATTTAAAAATCTACATTAAATGAATTTGACAATTCCCTTTTTTTCTTTTGTGTTTTTTGGGGGTTTTTTGACTTTTTTTTTTTGACTGTTGCTTTTCTGGGGGTTTGTTTGTTTTCTGACCTCCCTGACTTTCGATGTGGTCTTTCTTAAAAGCAGTTTCAATTAATCTTACTTTTCATAGTGTGAGTCCTGCAGATTTACGACTAATTCTTATTGTCCATGACAATTACACTTAAGTCCCAGAATTACTAGATTGATTTTTTTTGTGATTTTAGCTGTTTTTTCAAGTCAAGTCATTGTTTTTTAAATATTTCTTTTTAATACAAACGTATCTAGATGCCTCTTTGGTGTTGTACTTCTTAGCCAGTGGGGAGGAAAGGAGAGTGAATGCTAACAGTGGAGCAGGGGGGTCTTCTGAGGAGGTGACAGAAACATTCTGAAGCTGACTGTGGTGGTGGTTGCCCAACTCTGCAGATACATCCATTTAACTGCACATTTTAAATAAGTGAGTTGTATGGTATATGAACTGCACCTCAAAGCTGTCATATTAAAAAAAATCTTACCTGCTTGTTCCTGTGCTACTCAGGGCACAATAGCGAACTCGCTGACGTGTGTCCAGCTGCACAAGCGGGCTGAGAAGATAGCCGTGATGCTGATGGAGAGAGGGCACCTGCAGGATGGGGACCACGTCGCTCTGGTCTACCCACCAGGTAAGAAGCAGGGCCATGCAAGACCAGCCCTTGCCCGAGTGACCCTTCACTGCACATGTTGGTGCTCGATGACCTTGTGTGTTACCACCAAAAATGGACACTGTCTCTCCTGCCTCACTTGTGCGGACTGTGCTACGTGCTATACCACTAATAGTAGGGACGCAGATAAAGTGGTAGTTCACAACGACTTTTGTATCTAAATTTGTTTTATTAGCTATCTGAGGTAGTTCATTTAATCAATAGTAGTTAAATCCTTGACTACTGAATTGATAATCAGAAAGTTGAGTAATTCCTTAGAGAAATGAGAGCAATCAAGCTTCTGGGCTGCTTTGGCTTCCTGTGCCTAAAAGAACAGGCCAGGTGGGAGTTACCCCTGAAGTTTAACAGACCCACAGGGAGGAGGACAGGTCTATTCAAGGTCTCAGTTACTGCTGTACCCGTCTGACTGTTTCCAGCTGGTGATTCTGCTGACAGGGATGATGGCCATTAAACAGCTTGTTTCGTTTCAAGTGAGAACTTTTGCTTTTCTCCCCATGTAGGAATAGACCTTATCGCAGCATTTTATGGTTGCCTGTATGCAGGCTGTGTGCCAATAACCGTCCGTCCTCCACACCCACAGAACATCGCAACCACGCTGCCAACCGTGAAGATGATCGTGGAGGTAACGCTGCCTGCGGGTGTCTGCGCCTGAGTGTTGGGCTTGCAGATCACAGAGCCTGGGCTCCCGGGGAAGGGCTGGGTGCAGGCATGGGATTGCATGGGAGTCGGCGGTCCCAGCGGTGGAGTGGGACTCAGCCTCTTCCCTCTAGGAGTTGGCCATCTCGTTCTGGAAGGAAGATAGCAGCTTGTGCGTAGAATTAGGGGCTAGAGAGCAGCTTTGCCACAATGCGTGGGAATTGATGCCCAGAGAGGGCATCCCTCTGGACACTGGGAGCTTCCCTACCAAGCCCAAGGAGCAGACCAAAACAAGTGGGAAAGTCATACATTTTTAAAGGTTCTTTTCTCAAGATTGAGAAGCATCCTGTTCCTTTTTGAAAGTATAGATTTGATTTAATTTTTTTTTGCCTGGGGAAGTTTAAAAGGATTAGGATATGTTTTTCCCTTGGAGGAGGAACCATGAGGGACATCACAAATGAATACTTCTTTGTAGTTGTGTTGGAGGACCCTCAAGGTTGTCACTCTGGTAGATGGTACTGTGTGTGTAAATGTGTGCATTTCTGGGGGACGGAGCTAACAGTGAGAGCAGGTAGTTTGGATGCTGCTTTCTGAGTGTGACCATCACACTGGGGATACTGCCAGGGACCTCAGTCCCCACAAGGTCTGCTTGTGTGCTCCGTGGTCAGATTCCTGGTCATGTGGAACTCCATTGGCCAGCACAGCCCCTTGTGAGGCAGCTGTGTTCCTGGTGCCCAGCCTGTGCTGCGAGCTTCATGGCCTCCACGTGGTGCACAGCTGGCACGTGAGCATGCGTCCATCCCCGTCCTTTACCTCCCTCCTCTCCATTCCTTGTTCTCTGACCCTCAGGTGAGCCGCTCCGCCTGTTTGATGACAACACAACTGATCTGTAAATTGTTACGGTCCAGGGAGGCAGCTGCAGCTGTAGACGTCAGGGCCTGGCCCCCGATACTGGACACAGGTTCGTCCTCCAACTCGCTGATATGTTTGTTTGCTTATCTGCTTTTCCATTAAGTCAGAGATGCTAACAGCTTTGTTTTGCTCTCTAGATGATTTGCCAAAGAAGCGGCCTGCCCAGATCTACAAACCTTCCAACCCAGACACACTAGCCTATCTTGATTTTAGTGTGTCCACGACTGGGATGCTAGCTGGAGTGAAGGTGAGAAACACAGTCTGCGTAATAGTAGTTAGCAAGCCACAAAGCAATGGTCAGTTTTCATTCTTATGGGTATAGGGCTCTAGTGGGGCCTAGCAGCAAAACACGGAGAGAGAGCGATATATGTGCATTTTGTTCAAGCTCTAAAATGCGTGACCATTTCAGTAGTTAGCTAGGCTGACTGATTATTTCCAGATGTTCCAGCTATTTTTTTATGTAAACAGAGCTTCCCTAACCTCTAATTTAAAAACTGCCTATGTTTTTCTTGCTGGTTCTCAAATCCCAGTATTCTATTATAAAACTCTGCGCACTGGAGTTTCTCACTTGTTTAACATGGGTCTCATTATAACTTGCCAGCACGCTGCTCATTGCCTCTGAAATGATGCTTTTTCCTATCAAAGAATGATGGAACTACAATGTGTGTCACCAGAATTAGGACCCTCACAGCTCAGGCAATGTCCTTGTCAAGATACCGTTAAGCCTGAGAAAACCATAATTCAAAAAGAGTCATGTACCACAATGTTCATTGAAACTCTGTTTGCAATAGCCAGGACATGGAAGCAACCTAAGTGTCCATCGACAGATGAATGGATAAATAAGATGTGGTTCACATATACAATGGAATATTACTCAGCCATGAAAAGAAATGAAATTGAGTTATTTGTAGTGAGGTGGGTGGACCTAGAGTCTGTCATACAGAGTGAAGTAAGTCAGAAAGAAAAAAACAAATACCATACGCTAACACATATATATGGAAACTAAAAAAAAAAGGCTCTGAAGAACCTAGGGGCAGGACAGGAATAAAGACACAGATGTAAAGAATGGACTTGAGGACACGGGGAGGGGGAAGGGTAAGCTGGGACGAGTGGCATGGACATATATACACTACCAGTGTAAAATAGATGGCTAGTGAGAAGCAGCTGCATAGCACCGAGAGATAAGCTCGGTGCTTTGTGACCACCTAGAGGGGATAGGGAGGGTGGAAGGGAGATGCAAAAGGGAGGAGATATGGGGATATATGTGTATGTATAGCTGATGCACTTTGTTATAAAGCAGACAGTAATACACCATTGTAAAGCAATTATACTCCAATAAAGATGTTAAAAAAAAAAGACACGGTTAAGTTCTCTGGCCTCAGGAAGCCCTTCACCTATTATCCACCTGACTGCTGGGTTTGCATAATTTTCATTTAGTTCTCTTACTCCATTTACTTTTTTTTTTCCAATTTTTAATTGTGGTAAAATACATATACCACAAATTTACCATTTACCCAGTTCAAGTGTACAACTCAGTGGTGTTAAACACGTTCAGAATTCTGTGCTGCTCTCACCACCACTCATCTTTGTAAGTCATTTCATCTCACAAAACTGAAACCACCCCTGCCTGCAGCAACTCCCACTCTACTTTCTGTCTTTATGATTTTGACTATTCTAGGTACCATGTTTATGTGGAATCATACAGTATATGTCTTCTTGTGTTTGGCTTATTTTCACTTAGCATAGTGTCTTCAGGGTTCATCCATGTTGAAGTATATATCAGAATTCCTTTTTAAGGCTGAGTTAATATTTCATTGTATGTATTTACCACATTTTGCTTATCCATTCGTTTATCAATGGACACTTGAGTTGCTTTCACATTTTAGCTATTGTGAATAATGCTGCAGTGAACATGGGTGTATAAATATCTCTTCGAGACATTGCCTTCAGCAATTTTAAGTGTATATCCAGAAGTTGAATTGTTGGGTCATGTGGTAATTATATTTTTAATTTTCTGGGGAATTGCTGTACTGTTTTCCACAGTAGCTGTTCCATTTTACCTTCTCACCAACAGTGCACAAAGTTTCCAATGTCTCCACATCCTTACCAGCACTTGTATTTTATTTTCCATTGGTTTTTTTTTTTTTTTCTTTTGAATGTCCTCTTTTTTTGGCAGGGGAAGAGCCGCGCCGCAGGGCTTGTGGGCTCTTGGTTCCCTGACCAGGGATTGAACCCAGGCCACTGCAGTGAAAGCCTGGAATCCTAACCATTAGGCCACCAGGGAACTCCCTGTTGGTTTGTTTGTTTGTTTTTAATAGTAGCCTTCCTAATGGATGTGAGGTGATATCACATTGTAATTTTGATTTGCATTTCCCTAAAGATTAATGATGTTGAGCATCTTTTCATGGAATTATTGGCCATTTGTATATATTCTTTGAAGAAATGTTTATTCAAGTCCTTTGCTGTTTTTGAATTGATTGTTTTCTTGTTGAGTTCTAGATGTTCTCTGTATATTATGAATATTAATCCCTTATCAGATATATGATTTGCAAATATTTTCTCCCTTTCTTTGGGTTGCCTTTTTACTCTATGGATAGTGTCTTTTGATGTACAAAATTTTAAGATTTCTGTGAAGTCTAATTTTTTTTGCCTTTGCCTTCAGTGTCATATCCAAGAAAACATTTCCAAATCCAATGTTGTGAACTTTTGTCCCATATTTTCATCTAAAAGTTTTATTTTTTAGATCTTATATTTAGATCTTTGCTCCATTTTGTGTTAATTTTGTTTATGGTATTAGGTAAGAGTCCAACATAATTCTTTTGCATGTGGATATCCAGTTTTCCAAGCACCATTTGTTGAAAAGACTGTCCTTTCCCCGTTGAATGGTCTTGGCACCCATATCAAAAATCATTTGATCACCCACAGTTAACATCATACTCAACAGTGAAAAGCTGAAGCTTTTCTCTAAGATCAGGAACAAGGTAAGGATGCTCACTTGTACCACTCTTATTTAATATAGTACTGGAAGTCCTAACCAGAGAAATTAGGCAAGAAAAAGAAATAAAAGGCATCCAAACTGGAAAGGAAGAAGTAAAATTGTCACTATTTGCAAATGACATGATGCTATGTATAGAAAACACTAAAAACTCCACCAAAAACTGTTAGAATAAATGATTCAGTAAAGTGCAGGATAACAAAATTAATACAGAGAAATCTGCTGTGTTTCTATATACTAATAATGAAATATCAGAAAGAGAAATTAAGGAAACAGTCTTATTTACAACTGCATCAAAAGAATAAAATACCTAGGAATAAATTTAACCAAGGAGGTGAAAGACCTGTACACTAAAAACTATAAAATATTGATGACATAAATTGAAGAAGACACAAATAAATGGATATTCCATACTCTTGGTTAGAATAATTAATATTGTTAAAATAGCCATACTACCCAAAGCAACCTACAGATTCATTGCAATCCTTATCAAAATTCTAATGGCATTTTTCACAGAAATAGAACAAACAATTCTAAAATACGTATTGAACCACAAAAGACCCCCAATAGCCAAAGCCATCTTGAAAAAGATCAAAGCTGGAGACATCATGCTCCCTGACATTACAAAGCTACAGTAATGCAAACAGTATTATTATACTGGCACAAAAGCAGACACATAGATCAATGAAACAGAATAGCCCCAAAATTAACCCATGCATATATGTCAACTAATTTATGACAGAGGAGCCAAGCATATATGGTGGGGCAAGGACAGTCTTTAAATAAATGGTGCTTGGAACACTGGACAGCCACATGCAAAAGAAGGAAACTGGACTAATTTTCTACACCACACATAAAAATGAACTCAAAGTGAACTAAAGACTTGAATGTAAGACCTGAAACCATAAAAGTCCTAGAAGAAAACATAGGGGTAAACTCCTAGACATTGGTCTTGTCAATTTTTTGAGTTTGACATCAAAAGCAAAGGCAACAAAAGTTAAGCAAGTGGGATTACATCAAACCGAAAAGCTTCTGCACAGCAAAGGAAACCGTTAACAAATGAAAAGGCAACCTACTGAATGGGAGAAAATATTTACAAATCATATATCTGATAATGGGTTAATATCCAAAATATATGAAGAACTCATACAACTTAATAGCAGAAAAACAATTATTTCTTAAAAATGGGCAGAGGATCTGAATAGACATTTTTCTGAAAGGGACATACAGGTGGACAGCAGATACATGAAAATATGCTCAACATCACTAATCACCAGAGAAATGCAAATCAAAACCACAGTAAGCTATCACTTCACACCTGTCAGGATGACCATCATCAAAAAGACAAGAGATAACATGTGTCCGTGAGGGTGTGGAGAAAAGGAAACCCTTGTGCACTGCTGGTGGGAATGTAAAGTGGTGCAGCCACTATGGAAAACAGTATGGGGGTTCCTCAAAAAATTAAAAATAAAACTACCATATTATCCAGCAATTCCACTTCTTGGTATTGATCGGAAGAAAATAAAAATACTAACTCGAAAAGATAACTGCACCCCCGTGTTCATAGCAGCATTGTTTACAATAGCCAAGATATGGAAACAACATCAGTGTCCATTGGCAGATGAATGGATAAGTAAAATGTGATATGCCCACCCACCTACCCACACCCTCCCCCATACACACACAATGGAATATAATTCAGCCATAAAGTAGAAGGAAATCCTGCCATTTCAGACAACGTGAATGAACCTGAAGGACATTATGCTAAGTGAAATAAGGCAGAGAAAGACAAATACTGTATGATTTTACTTATATGTGGAATCTTAAAAAAAAAAAAAAGAAAACCAAGCTCATAGATACAGAGAACAGATTGGTGATGGGCAAAATGGGTGAAGGGAATGAAAAGGTACAGACTTCCAATTATAAATAAGGCCTGCGTATGTAATGTACAGCATGGAAACTATAGATAATGATATACCGTACTGCGTATTTGGAAGTTGCTAAAAGAGTAAATCTTAGTAGCTGTCTTCACTAGACTTATTGTGGTAGTCATTTTGCAATACATACACATATGTATGTTATATTGTATACCTGAAACTAATATAATGTATGTCAATTATACCTCAATGAGTCAATCAGTCAAATCAATTGCATGTGAAGTCTAGGTAAAAATAAATAAATTAGTGAAAATTTTTTTTAAAAAATCATTTGACCATATATGTGAGGGTTTATTTCTAGGCTCTATATTCTGT